CCCAGCCGCTGGATCAGGCCAGGCACCGGCCATCCATTTCCTTTGGCTTGGCCTGGTTTCGGTTGATCGATTTTTTCAGCCGGGCTGGTTTCAGCCTCTAATTTTTTCTGGTTTCATGATATGCCACAACAAAAAGTGGCCGGAAATATTACGCTATGACGAAATCTTGAAAATTACATAATTTTTGATGGCTAATGAGGTATTAATTAAGTGGGAAAATGACAAAAAATATGACTTTATTTTTTTCGGGCGAATTTTTGTCTACATCGGTTTGTTCAATTTCTGAAAGTTGGGAGTGCTGGATATGTATTATGAAGGATATATAATAAAATTGATCTAAAAATATTATTGGAAAGTTGGCGATAAATAATAATTACGTTAGCGGCAAATAGAATATCCCTTATATAATCCACAAAATAGAAATTCTTCACATGTATCTTTGATTCGTGATTCATATTCCCCTCATCTGTAAGATATTGCTCCCCCACCGGCAAACAAAAATGCTCGCTTTGGATGAAATTTTAAGGGTGCCATACTCGTTTCCAATGAACATTATATATCGGTCTCCTACTTCACTTATTCACTCCTATCCACTAAAATTATCCAAAATTTACCATGTATGTTTTAACGGATTGGAAAATCGACAATGTAAGAAAGTAGGAAAAACAAAAATTTACATTGTTAACTAAGATGATGTATATTAGCTACGTCCACAGACATGAGACAGAAGTTTTACCATACTTGGGAACAGTGGCGTATACATAACATAGTAGAGCACTAGGCCGCATTTCTTTAGAAAATTAGATACCGCAAATAATAATAATAATCATAGTTATTTTTACAATGTCAATTATACACTATAGTATTTTAATTTAGCGAATTCATCAATAATGCTGTCTACATCCATAATAATAGTATACTCTCTTTCAAATAAAATAGTTAAGCAATTGGCTAATCATTTTTGTTGGGTAAATCAATTTGGACTTTGCTACGGTGACATGCATGTCACGGTGACATGCACTTTTCGGTCGACCTCATATAGGATCAGGTCGACCTAATCTGTTCTTTCAGTGTAAAAACAGTTTCATGGTGCCTACTTTGGAGATTCATATCTTACAATTGGCTAGACGGAAATTGGAAATTAAAGGCTTGTTTTGAAGCTGAAGTGTATCTCTACACATTAAAGTACTTGGGAGCTCAATAGAATGTCCAGAAGACCATTTTTGAACCTGACCAAAAGGCTATGCCAAAACTGGGAAACTGCTTGAAAATGGCTAAACCTGGCAACGTGTTTGTCAAGCCTACTTTGAAGCTCAATTTGAGAAGTATGGATGCGAGTCAAGTCCAGGGGCCTCTACCACGTTAAATTACCTATTTTTTTATATAAAGTCAAGGCATTGGATGAAAGATTGAATATCTTTAAGGCTTCAAAAAAAAAAAAGCTCGAAGTTGCTACGAAGGCTGTTTTTCTGGCCGCTTGCTTGTGCTCGAAGTCTGCCAGAAAAACAACCTTCGTAGCAACTTCGACCCTTTTATTTGAAGCCTTACAGATATCCAATCTTTCATCCAATGCCTTGAATTTTTATGAAAACATACCTAATTTAACGTGGTAGAGGCTCCTGGACTCGACTCACATTCATGCTTCCCGAATTGAGCTCCAAAATAGGCTTCACAAACACGTTTCCAGACTTAGCCATTTCCAGGCAGTTTCCCAGTTTTGGCATAGCCTTTTGATGAGGTTCAAAAATGGTCTTCTGGACTTCCTATCGAGCTCTCAATCACTTCAATATGTAGAGGGGCACTCCACCTTCAAAACAAGTCATTAGTCTTCAATTTCCATCTAGCCAATTGTATGATATGAATATCCAAAGTAGGCACCATGAACTGTGTTTACACTGAAACAACAGATTAGGTCGACCTGATCCTATATGAGGTCGACCGAATCCTAAATGAGGTCGACCAGATCCTATATGAGGTCGACCGAATCCTATATGAGGTCGACCGAATTCTAAATGAGGTCGACCTAATTCTAACTGAGGTCGACCGGAAAGTGCAAGTCACCGTGACATGCATGTTACCGTAGGCACACCCAATCAATTTTCACATGTTTCATTGTTGAAAAAGTTATCTCACTAGCAGAGCCGTTGTAATGAGAAACGTCAACCCTATATAAATCAATCGACTAATCAATTTATATTGTGTGTCCAACCCCATGTCCAACGACTGCTCTAGTAAATTTTCAAGGGAAAAAACTTAATATTTCTTCTAGTCTTTTACTTTTTAGACTTTTAGAATTTTAGGTTTCATTGTTTATTTTTTTAAATCATTGAGGCTAGAATTACTATGGGCTAAATTTAGAGTAGTGATTTGAACATGCTGATCAGCAGAAATATTTTTCGAGTTACACACAATCCTATTATAAAATAACACTAGGTCAAAATGTCTAAAATCTTTAAATTCATAAGAGCTAGACTAGCTCCGGATCCAGACGAAGGTTGGGTCGTGGCCCAGGTGACCACTAGGGATGGTAATTTGAACCCGCCACGTCGGGTATTACCCGACCTGACCCGCGATGGGGCGGGTATTACCCAACCTGATGCACGATGGGACGGGGCATGCATTGGCGTAGCTAGAAATTCATCGAATTGGGGTCCAAAAGTTTTTTACTAATACTCAATAAGTTTACTAAATTAAGTTTGTCTAATTTTTAATATATATACATGAGTGATTAGGATAACGGGTAGTTTTCATTGGATTGAGAATCTAAAATTTGATTTCAAGTGAATTTATCTAAATTGATGGGGACTCACGCCCAAAATAAACAATTATCTAACCATAAACTCATACAATTTTCAACTTCCTTCTTTCCAAGTGGGGTCCATGGACCTCACATTCTCTAATGTTGCTCCGCGAATGGGGGCATGGGGGGTATCAACTTCCGCTCGCCCTATCCGGTCCCACCCGGTTCTTAGCCCATCCATTAATATATCTCCTATTTTGGTTTTTCTTCAACTAGTTAGACTTGATCTTTCAACTAGATAGACTCAATTACCCATTATATTATCACTATTATTCATTCATTAATTATTTTCCCCTTTGTTTTATCATAAAAAGTCAAATTTTGGGTGTATATTTTTCAAATAGAATGTAAGAGTGGGTCTCCCCGCCCCGCCCCGTACTTGCGCGGGTATTACCCTCCCCGACCCGTAGTAACGTGAGGCGGGGCATGGATATTGAGGTACTCGCCCCGTCCGACCCATTGCCATCTCTAGTGGCCACCCCTGGATCCACCACTACTTGAGAATATACAAATTACATAGATTGAGAATGAATATATTGAACATTCTCTAGACGGCCTAACCTAATTCAAACTGGAAAAGAAAAGGTTACAGAACATGTACAAAATAGTAAAACAAACGCATTTATAATTTTTAATAATATTTATATTAAATAATATTTTATGAAAATAAATATTTATTAGATTTTTGTCTGGCTTGAAAATGAAAAATATTTATTTTTTAATGGACACATCATCTATTTAACGATCAAATATCACAGCTGACGACCATGTAGGATATACTTAAAGGAATTGGATGGCTTGTGACTAAAGATGAAATAAAGTGAAAAATCAATTATGAATAAAAAAAATAATTTGAGTGGCAAACATGAAACATTTCGATAAACTGATTGACCAAACATGCAATTCATTCTTTTAAAAACTATAAACAAAATTGATTTTTTGAAAAATCTATTGCAAGGCCAAAGCGTTAGTTGTAAGGTTGTCGAGCTTGTTTAGCCTGTTGGTCTGGATGAGCAGGTGAGTTGAGGGTTAATGGCCCAAATCCAATTGCTTTAGTCTAGTTTAACTTGGATATATGAAAAATTCATTTTAGTATTCATACATTTATAAAATCTAATCTAACATATAAATAATAATGTACAACATTACACAAAAATAACAGTTTGTTCTTGGATCCAAGATATAGTGAAAATTCAACACACTCATATAACATCAATATTCAAGCGTTCAACTTAATATTCCAAAAGTAGGGTTAGACGAAGGAAAAAACCAAAAAAGATGTGTAATTCGCAAATCAAGAGGAAAAACAATATCGTGTGACCTTCCATTCAAGAAATCTTGCGGTGGGTCGACTTGCAGGTGTATTGCACCCATTTTTTCATCGGATCTGGGTCAATACGGACTAACCCGAGAGTCGACCCGTGGGTTGACAACCTTGGCGAGTTGGCTCGCACTTACCCGTGACTCCGAGTAAGCTACAAGTAGGGACGACAATTTCGACCTGACCTGTTTTACCCGATCTGCGGGCATGGGTATTTTCATCGACCCGACCTGCCCCGACCCGTTGCTTTCTCAACCTGTTCTTGTCTAAATTACTTGTAATCTTAGTCAAATTACTCAATATTTCCATTTTATTGCATCATTTTTTTTTTGCTAAAATAAAATTATAAATTAGTGAAAATCTCTATTTCACCAATAAGTTAACTACATTTATCATATTATGGTTTGTTTTTTGGTCTTATAATAAAATAATGAATTTTTTTAATATTTTCCAACCCGCGCCCAATGATAAATTACGTGACCTCGACCCAACCTATCGCGAAATGATTATTGGTATCAAGATACCCGCTTCGGACCTGCCTATTGCCATTCCCAGATGCAAGAATGCGCAATGACCCAACTCGACAAAAAAAAAAAACTGAATAATACTAAACAAAAGTTCTATTTTCATCATGTGTGAAAATTGGAAATACAAATACACTCCCACTTTCAAGGAAACAGAGAGACGAAACCTGAGCGGAAAAAGAAGCTCTGATTATGCCTTACCGGGTTCTTCCCCCCTTCCTTCTTTTCTGTATATTCCAAATCGGCGGGCTGACCGTGACTCTGCCTGTCGGCTGTACGGTGTTCAGATGATGCATGTAACAATGCTATATAGATAACCAGAGACTCCAATTGAGTGGGAGAAGACCAAGAAAAGGAACAAAACAAACAATATGACGCTGCTAAATTCTGCTCAAGTGGATCAGAATCGTCCTGCTTCTTCGACTTCTTGCTCCATGAAGCTCGAGAGGAAAGTTGTGGAGAAAAATAGAAGGAACCATATGAAGACTCTGTACTCCCGCCTCTACTCTCTCCTCCCCACTTCTCGCTCCAATCAGGTTCCCATTTTAATCCAATTAAACAATTATAAGGGTTAGTTAACTCAATGTGTTTAGCTAATCCGGTTAAGACGATGGAAAGTACATTTTTTTTTTGCAGGGATCAGCTGCTGTGGGAATCTCGTCCTCGACGTCGCCTGGATCAGGAGTTGCTGACCAGATAGACGAGGCAATAAGCTACATAAAGAGCATGGAATCGAAGCTGAAGAAATTGGAGGAGAAGAAAGAAAGTCTAGCGGCGAGCAGAAAGAGACTGCGCAAATGTAGTAGCGGTATATGTTGTAGTGATGGACCGAAGTCAAAGGGGGCGAGGAGATGGTCGGCGGCGCCGGAATTGCAGATCCGGGAAGTGGGTTCTGTTGTGGAGGTGGTTTTGACAAGTGGGTCCGGGTCGGGCTGTGATGAGTCCATGGTGCTGTTTCAGGATGCGATCCGAATTCTCGAGGATGAAGGCCTTGAAGTTCTGAATGCTAGCTTCGCTGTAGCTGGGAATTCCACTTTCTTCTCTACTCTTCATGCAAAGGTACTAACTTCCCAAGTGCGGATTAGTCGGTTATACATACTTTGGGATTCTGATGGCTAATTGTCGATCGACCTCATTCTTTGTTTTTCCCCCTATTGGGTGTAGATAGAGGAATCTTGTTTCAGCTTTGAAGGAGCAAAAGCGTCGGAAAGGCTGCAAAGGTTAGTTTATGGGTCTGTAAGCGATCAAGAATTGGAGGCAGAGTTATGGGACCTGGGTCCTGGAGATTCATACTGATACCTGGTAGCTGCTTCATATATACTTGTAATTCCTTGATAGCCTAGACAACCATTTATCTTTAGAGTCCATGTAATGGAATTGTACTGAAGAGTATAACTTCTGTAGTTTCTGTCTCTGAGATTTCATCTCTCGGAGATTCATACTGTAGTTTCTGTCTCTCAGACCCTTCTCCACTATTTTGGATAGTATTTATGGTTCTACCTTTTTCTTAGCAACGGGCTTTCATGTGATTATAGGTGCTCTTTTATTGATCATACGTGATATTCGCCAATTAGTGATGGCAATTTGAACCCGCCCTACGGGCATTATCCGACCAGACTCGTGATAGGGAAAGTATTAGCCGACCAGTAGTAGTGTGGGGCGGGGCATGGGTATCTACTATCGACCTGCCCTGCCCCGCCTCGTTCTTGTCCCATTTTATCTCAATTTCTTACAGTATCTATACATATTTCTCATATTTTGCCTTTTCTTCAACTATTTACCGTCGATCTTTCAACTTGTTATACTTAACTAGCCATTTTATTAGCACTATTTTTCATTCATAAAGTGTTTCCCCATTTGTTTTATCGTAAAAAGTAAAGATTTGGGTGTATTTTTTCCCAATAACATGTAAGAGTGGGTCAACCCGCCCCGCCCTGTACCAGTGCCGGTTTTAGTCGCACTGACCCACAGTAGCATGGGACGAGGCATGGGTATTGAGTTACCCGCCCCGTCCCGCCCATTGCCATCACTATCGCCAATATATTGGTAATTTGACGAAGGAGCATCACATTGGCTTTGAAGCAGGTGCATGGCTCGAGGGACCCTTCTCCATAATCCCGACATTTTTAGTTTTGGCTAACCAAGGCAATGAAAGCGCGCGCAGTAAGTGACAAATTATTTATTCCTATTTCCTACACTAGACCTCTATGATGACATGTAACTTTCGATCTTAGGTAGTGGATCATAAGAGGCTTACAAGGTAATCCCTTGCACTTCAAAACTTTTGATCCTTGCATTGATGCTCGAAACGAACTTCGTAAGAACGAAATGATTCGCCCCTCACGAGATGGAGTACTTTCTCTAACTCAAGTCATTTTATACAAAGATTGGGGTGAAGTTTATGTAGCTCGATTAGGAAGTATTCATATCTCTGACCACGTAAAGTGTTTTGAATAGTCTTCGTACGAAGACGAGCTTGCCTAGCCTTTTTGCAGACATTGTGCTCTTCTATGCTCTAGTTGTCTATTTCTCTTAGTACGTTGGTACTTAACAAGCCTTGATCAAGAAAGAGCAGTTTTAGCTCCTTTTCCTTCATCGTATGGAGGGTCAATGAAGTCTAGGGGTGTCAGAAGATTTTTATAGTGTCCTTGAAAACACATCCCAAGTTGGCAATCTTATCATACGAGTGACAATTTTTCATGAACTATAGAGAAACTAGCAAAATCTCGTAGGACTATCCCACTGAAAATTTCTCTTCCAAAGCCCTTTTTTGCAAGGTTAAGATGCTTCACACTTTACCTATACACTTCATTTGCGGCGGAAACATCTTGTAAGGCTTGGCGTGGTAGGATTTGGAGTGTATAAAGCAACATATCGACCCTTTTTTTAGCTTTATGCGCAAACGACTCCTTCCTTTGAGGAGTTTGAGAGCTCAAAAATGATGGTAGGAAGCACCAATCCGTACTTCTTAAGATGGATCCAAGTCTCATGACAATGACATCTTTCATAGCCTATACACTAGCCTCTCTAAGTCACATATCAACAAAGAGACTAGCAATTCAAAGTTTGATGAACTTCAAATTTGCTTTCGGGGTGTGTCATTACTCGAAAATTTGAAATAAATGCGCAAATGCACACACAAAATCCTTTCCACATAACATATGAACATTCACAAACTCAAGGTCTATAGAATGAAGAATAATCTACCTAAATCTCACCCCACACTTTAAATAGGACAATGTCCTCATTGGGCCAAGCAAGGAGTAGAGAGAAAAGTAGAAAAAGTTACCATTTTTTTAAATCCATGCAACTTGGCTAGTTCCTTTGATGATTGGCTCCACGAACAAATGAAAAGTGTAAAATGGAGAGAGCAAGTTCGTCATCTCCTCACCTATGGCAATATTTAAGAGGTTCACCTAATTAGCTCTCTTAAGACAAGCATTGAATGCTAGGCGACATGTCACTTACATGTCCAAATCGTTGAGAGTCTATATTGTTATAGGAGTGAGGAAATACACAATGAATGGTCATGAGAAAAATGTATGAATGCATATATGGTTCCACTTACACCCTCACCCCCTAAAGAAGAAGAACGATTGTCTAGGGCTTACCAAAGCACATATCATCAGGCTTCAAGAAAGCAGAAAAAGCGTCCGCTTACTAGTGATTAGGCACTTCGCGACTACATATCGCCTCTCTTTGGGGAACGATGGATAACTAAGTGACTGAAGTGATTAGGCAGTGGAAGGTGGATATTAGGTGGAGGAAGGCTATCTAAGGCGCGATTAATCAATGCCTAGGATGTTGAGGCGTTGAGCTATTTCATGGAGGATTTAATTGAATCAAATATGCAAAAACTCTCTTCTCTATCGTTGTTCTCAAATTTCAGGGTTAGAAGGGAGGATTGTGTTGTGGTCTCTCTCTTTTCCTTAACCATTATTCCTTGGTTTGAGAAACAATTCTGCTCGAGGGCATGGTTCTCAGAAGTGAGGCAGTGGCGGACCTTGTAGGTGGCGCCACCATTGTTGTTTATGGTGGACCTATTAGCTACCCACTTGCTCAATTGAAGATCCGAGACGAACCTAGAAAAACATGAAAAGGGGGAAAAGAAATTTTCAACATTGCTTTGATTCTCTTTTAATCTCTCTTTTTTATGTGTTATAGCGATGTCATCAAGGTGTGTTATATGACTGTATCTTGCGATGCTGAGATGATGTGTTGTAGCGATTCTTCTTCATGCAAGTGACCTCTACATCAATCGCCGGCTAGCTCTCTAATTCCTCTATTCTAGTATGGGAATGGGGTACCCTCCAACCAGCAATCCTCCAAGGAGAAAGGGAGGCCGGGAATGTCTGACTCGTATAGTAAGCGTTCTTGGCCAATTTGTTTATCGATCTCATCTCTGTGTCTCATCTTTGGTTTTATATTTATTGGATTTTTCTAATGACAAGCAGGTTTCATTCAGAGCAGAGGACCTTAATGGTGAGAGGACAAATCTCCTAAACGAGTTTGCTATTGTTAATTGATTGATTTGGTTGGTTTCCGTTGGCTAATTCAAGAGATCTGAATTTCAGATCTCTTGAAATAGGGATATTAGAATTTCAGAGGAGGATACCATCTTTTGCAGGAAAGGGACAATAACTAGGAGCAAGATATAGTATTTGAAGGAACTGAGTACAAGATATATTTAGCTTTCCTCAACAACTACCCATTCAAGCCACTAGAGATGAAGTTCAATACCACCCAGCAAGTGCACAGGACACACATGATATTTTGGGTTTTACCTCCATTTGTTGAAGTCACTTGAATCGGACTATCAGCCGCTACGACTGGTAGTCGAGGGTCTCAATGTTATTTGGGTTCTGGGCCTGGTCTGTAACCATTTCCTTTGCCAGATTGGATTAGGTTTAGACCCACATGGAGAAGTACTATAAATACTTCTCATACTCCTCTGTAATCTGTAATCTCCTCGATATAGTGAAACTGGCTTTCTCTCGCCCGTGGACTAGCTAACACGCATCGTGTTAGTGAACCACGTAAATCGTGCGTCTGTGTTTTTCGATTCTCGCTTTCGTATTCTTGCTTTATCGATTCCGACGATTTCCCGATTCGTAGCAGGGCGTTTATAACATTATTCATATAAGATAAATATGTAAGTTTCACGTGATGTCTTAATAATTACGAAGAACATATGTCATCCGTTCGGTTAAGTGATACATTGTAAATAACTATTTATACATAAAGTTTACGTAGTGTTTAATTATTATTGAAAACTTACATATTATTTTGTAATCTATCTATCTATCTATCTATCTATACTATATATTATGACAATTCAAAAGCAATATCTTGCCACATAAGCACTTGGAGGATCCACAATTTGTCAAGTTGGACAATTTTTTTACAAACAAAAAAATTAGTTATTAATGTATTTATGGAGCAACCTCTCTCTTCTTTAATATTTCCATTTCTTTTATCCATTTTTTCTTTGCTTTAATAATAAGTTACATGTTGATAAACTTAACCAAATTGAATAATAAGTTACATTTTGATGAAAAAATTAAACAAACATACACATAAATAATAATGTTTTTTTCAATTAAACTAAATTTATATGAAAAGAGAGAAAATAAACATTTGACATTCAATTACCTGTGAAAAATAAACTATATTACTTTATATTTTGTTGCAATGAAACACTCTCTTATTCGTAAATTATATGTCTATAAAAATAAAACAATTATTATTTAGCAAAATGTCAGAGTATAATCTTGATCGAGTAGTTATAGTTATTTATTTAAAAAAGACTTCTTATTCCTCAGATTATGTTCTACCTTAAACTCCTCAAATGAAGAGGAATCGCATGTGCAATAATTTTATAATGTGTCCAAAGTTTACATTAATAATATTTGTTCTATATCATGTTGATTGAGCAAGCTCTATTGAGGACCTAAGTCATATGTTAAGAAATTTTCTTTCAGACTTAGAGTTATCGTCAACGATTATAAATCAAAATTTTCAAAATCACTTAAGTATGATTGTTGACGAACTTTGACTTCATACCCTAGGATGAGACACAAGATTTCTTGAAAAATAACATAAAGGAAGGTTCGAGAATCTTTGTTGAGAATCTAAGATCAACATCGCGTTTCATCAACTACTAACCTAGACATTTACCAAATAAAGGTTGTCAATTTTTAGTAAGATAGTCAATTGGGATAAACATATTTATCCAACAATCAAATATCTTTATCCAATAATATCAACTCTCAAAATTGGTTGCCAGTTCGTCCAAACTCGAGAAACACGAATTGATATATGTTGTATAGGAGAAATTTTACAATGCTATATAGTATTGGTGCTATAGGTTTTTGCCTTTATGGTACAATTTAAAATTGTACATTTACGTTATGGTACAACTTCAGATTGTACCTATACTTTTTGCACAAATTCTTTTATGGTACAACTTGAACTTGTACCTTTATGTGATGGTACAACTTCAAGTTGTAAAGTTGTACC